TGCTGTGAACCTAAAACTGCTCTAAAAATAAAGTTCATCAATTTAAAAAAAAGGAAGAAAATAAAATACTTGGTGTGGTTAAGTGATTTGTTCAGGACTACTCAGGCCATGGATATCCAAAGATTTATAATTTAAACCCAGGTCCTCATTCTCTTTCTACAATACCCCAAAACATTCTGTGCCTCAAAGCATGACAGCTTAGGCATCCTATTTGAAAATAACATACAGGTCTCAATGATTAATTAGAGATTTTCTATATAGCAAGAGAGAGGTAAATATTCTGTAATAACAACTACTATATATTAGGTCAAATAATGTAAAATTGCTATTATAGTTTAATACTATTTTAAAATACATATTTCATCTTATTTTGGTAAACAACATTTCACTCCTGATGATAACTTGCTTTCTTTAATTCCTGGTTTATTTTGTCATTTCGTCTGATGGTAATTGGCCTGTATAATGATTAGCCAATAACCTGTGACTTGTAAAAAGGTACATCTTAGGCTAAGAAAATTGACTTTGTATAAAACTGTTCTGCTTTAATTTTTTGTCTTTTTTTTTTTTTTGGATGGAGTTTTGCTCTTGTTGGCCAGTCTGGAGTGCAATGGCGTGATCTCGGCTCACTGCAACCTCCACCTCCTAGGTTAGAGAGATTCTCCTTGCTCAGCCTCCCCAGTAGCTGGGATTACAGGCACCGACCACCCATGCCCAGCCTTTTTTTTTTTTTTTTTTTTTTTTTTTTGGATTTTTAGTAGAGACGGGGTTTCACCATATTGCCCAGGCTGGTCTTGAACTCCTGACCTCAGAGGATTCTCCTGCCTTGACCTCCCAAAGTGCTGGGATTACAAGTGTGAGCACCCAGCCTTTTGTCTATTTTTTGTTTGTTTAAAATTCTCTATTATGCTAATAGAAAATTACATTAATATATACATATCAGAGTTCTTTCATTCTTGATCATTTCAAAAATAGATGTGTAATTATTTCTCTAAAATACCTCACTAGTTGCTATATAGTATGTGATCTGTCTTCCTAAGGATTAAATTCTTTCTTCTTTTATAGAATTGGAATGTTATGTGCTGTGCAATTATGCATACTAGATTTATGGCAAAAACAAAAGAAAAATTGTGGTTACCCGAAAGTAAAATAGTAAGTACAACATAAAACATTGTGCTGGATATATAGAAAAATTTATCAATACCATAATTACTTTCTTTTACAGAATGGATGCCAAATATATATTTATCTCACTGAAAATGTCACATCGCTTTTTTGGAGGTGAATTTAAAAAGCATTGCACATTTGATTAAAATGAATGATGACTCATTAGTTACAGCATGTTGGGGGCAACCTCATACCATTTAAGGTCATGACTTGAATGTAATATAAAGGTTTCATGGTGTGTGTGTGTGTGTGTGTGTGTGTGTGTGTGTGTTTTCCTTTACTTTTGTAAATGGATAATGCTACTGCCTGAAAGTTGTCTGGGAATTCAGCCAACGAAAGAAGAGGGTTGCAATAACTCTGGGGACTTGAAAGAAAAGTGGCTGGCAATAGCTTGGTCCGCACTTTAAACTAAAATTAAAACAATGGACAGACATGTACAGTAATCTCTCTTTTAAGGAAAGAATAGAAAGCTTCTATAGTAGTGTCAAGTGGAACAATTTGGTCCTGGCCCAAGTTATGCAGCTGTTTCACAGGAAAATGGCAAAAGGCTTCAGTCCAAAGCAGGCGAATAAGGCATGATTGTTCATAAACAGTCACTGGGGCCCTCACATTTAGAACAAGGAAAACAACATTAGCATAAAGAAGGGCAGGTTCGGAACACCAGCCTCAGTGCAACTTGAGCCATGCCATGATGTTGTGATTTACACAAAAGATAGTGGTGTGATTTTGCCTACTACTAATAAACCTAATTATTGTGAATAACTTATTCTTCAAAACATATTAGTCAAATACGTTTTAAGAAACAATGAAGTTTTGACCACAAATTAAATGCATTATTGAAGACAGCTACAAGATATAAAGAAATCATATAGCCACTATTCATTCCTGATTTTCACATGCTAATGGGAGGTGGGTCAGGTAAATGATAAAGATGATATATATTAAGTGCTTGGGGCCTCACTCAAAGGCTAAGCTAGTGTTGCTTCTCAGTGGTTCTTAAATAACAAAATGAAGATACAGGTACAATAGTTGCAAAGTAATGGAGTAGAACTTTGACAGTGATTACCTGAGCGAAACGGGTCATTCTAACCTGCTGATTGAGTATATCACACATTTCATTTCAACTCCCACTCTTTTGTTGCTATTTTAAAATATGCAATACTCCCCATTATATGTGTTATTATTGCTATGTTTTATTTTAAAATGTGTTTGACAAAATTTTTTCTTATCCCTCTTCCACTTTTTGATTCATTTTTTCAAGTTGATAGTCTTTCCTTTAATGACTATCTTCAGTTCCCTACAACCTACTAACTCCCTGATTAAACCATTTCAATTTGCATCCTGTTCTTTTTGTTCTAGTAAGACTTTTCTTTATGATCAGTAAGATTTCCTTCTGGGAAAATCCAATTATTTCAGACTTCTCTTGTTTTTTGTCCTCTCTGCCTCATCTGGCACTGTTGGAAATAGCATACAAACTACAGAAAGGCTAAAAATGAGACTGTTTTTAAAGGATCAATGCCTTCCTCTAATGGACAAGATAGGTACTGTAACAATATAGAGAAGTTTATTTAAGATGATTATGAAAAATGAAGAAAAAGCAATAGTCCAAATGAAAAAAGGCATCAAAGAAGTTGATTCTAACTTTAATGCTAATGTCCTGACAGTCTGCAAGGAAATGTGATAAAGGAAAAGTTGTGAATGAGAATATAATACAAGAAATCAGTTAATACATATTTACTTGTGGACCATAGCATACAGAATATAACATCGGGATCTATGAAGATGAAGGCAACATATCATGACTACTTTACTTTGAAGACATTGTAGAGCTTATGAGTTATTTGCCAAAAGCTACTATATTAAATTACAGATTTTTATGTGGTTATGAACCCATGCCAGAAATGATTAGTTTGGTAGAAATTCGACAAGTTTCCAGAAATAATATAAATATAGAAGAAAGCCTAATAAAGGAGGATGGCAACAGTGAAATATATCATGAAACTAGCCGGTTCACCACCCTAAAGCATCTTCGGGCTCAACTTCAGTGGTAAAAATCATTGTCAGTCCCATTCTAGTTTTTCAAAAGTAACTTTAGCTAGAATAAATGGAAATTTACATTTAGCAATTGAAGTAGCAGCACGTAATTGAAAGAGTGAAGGCTTTGGGCAAGACTGAACTGAATTCAAATTCTCACTCACTCATTTTAAATCCAGATTAATAGGAAAATTTAGTTAAAACTTTAGTTAAGCCTTAGTTTTCTCTTCTGTAAAATAGGAAGCCTTTCTTATTTCCTTTCTCTGTTGCAAAATGATAGTAATCAGGAAACTTCTGACAAAAGGTAATATTTTCCATTTTATAAGTCTCTTGAAATTTGTATTCTTAAATAAAATAAATGAGAAATGTTGTGCTTTTCATTCATCTGCAGTGCAGAGGATTATTACACATCCAAGATTATTTCTAAGTAACTGAAAAGAGATTAAAAGAAGACACATTCATTCAATCATATCTTAGATGAGTGATATAAACTCTTAAATATTTAATTATATAAAACGTAAAGTCTAATGATTTCCATAAGTAAAATAATGTTTCTACAGTTGGAAGTAGATATGGAATCAAAGAATGATTGTAAGACAATCGGATGCTACTAGAGCAGGCATTCATTTATTTTCAAGCATTCTATAAAGCATGTTCCCTAACTTCACCTCATTTAATTGCATAAATTGTGCACATAATCCAAATGTATACAAACGTACTTTTGGATAAATCTGAAGGAAAGAAGAGCAAAAACAATGTCTGCAAAATAATTACTAGAAGAGAGAACAGTTAAAAAATATCAAAACTGTGGTAAATAGGGCATGGTTTTATTAATATGGTAAAAAACATAATACACACACTTGATGAAGTTAAAATGTCAGGCATCTATCATACAATTCTTTTAGAAAAATTCCTGATGGGACAATATGAAACTTATACTTAAATAATACAAATGTTATTGGAGGCAAATTTTTAGTAATTTGACCTGATTTTCCAGAAGCAATCTCATATAGTTATATACAAAGAACAATTTAATTCCTTCTATTAAAATTTAAACAGAACTCAAATAAATTGGAATCTTTTAAAAAATCAAGTAAATTCCATAAAGCTAGGCCTAGAGTGTTCCTATATTAGAATGATCATATTGCTTTCAAATAGAATTTAAATAATCCATATTTAAATATCCATATGTAAGTTCTGCTTAATAATTGGTATTCTTTGACTCGCTATTTATAAACACAAATTTCAAAAGGTGAAGTTTTAGAGTTGAAGTGACATTATCACATTGACGTGCCTATATTCTAATAATGAAATTTACAATTAAGCACATTGAGTTTGTGACCCATTACTTGTTTCATTGGGTGTTTCATAAGAAACATAGATTTGATTTGCCTTTTATGAAAATAATTCTCCATGTAACTTTAAAACCTGGACATATTTTGGGGATGCTTCGGTATTTTCTAAATTTTTCATGGGAGAACTAAGTTCAGCAATGGGCAGCTTTTAGAATCTGACGATATAAACAGTGACTGATACACTCCATTCAGGTTTAAATATCTTACTGGAAAAAATAAAAAAGAAATACCATCTGGATATCTTCCCAGAAACTTCACTAGATGACAAAGTAAAAACCAAACTTCCATAGACATTAATGAAGACATGGTTCATGGGGTTTTCTGTTCTAGAGATCGCTTTGCCCACCAAGAAACGACAAAAACTGTGGATTTCTGCAGTTAAAGCCTGTAATCAAAGCAAGATAAAAGAAAAAAGTAAAAAGCTTTATTGCTCATTAACTCACTTACAGTGGTTTTCCTTTGGATTCACAAGTCAAAATTAAAGGCTGTCCTTCTTGTGGAAAAGGAGTCGACGGTATAATCTTAACTGATGGTGTATCTAGAAACAAAAGAATATTAAGAAGGGTGATTAAACACATACAAAACTAGATATTTAATAACTGTGCATCATGCTGTGTGTTCAGCATTTCTTATATATTATTTATAATTGCATATATTTATAAAGGATTTCTTAGAATTGGTAAAATAGGGTGTGTGATTTAAAAAGCTAACAACCTGTCTATGCAAAGCCAACAAAAATACCTCAATATCTCCTGAGCACCACTGTTGTATTTTTTCTGAAATCTGAATTTAAAAGTGAAATTGCAAAAAGTGGTTCAGATGAATATCAAGCATTTCATACAATTGTTTCTTAAACTATTTATAGATGGCTATGAATACTATTATTATGGGCTGAATGCATTCATGTGCATCTGAATAACAACACTTTCATTGTTACAGGAATACCAGAGACTCACAATAAGGAACCCACAATGAACTCAAGATCAATTACTGTCTCACAAGCGTTATGCAGAATCTTTTCAAAATGCAATGATGCGGCACTGGGTACATGCGGCTGGCTCTGAAGTACAGCTAGTGAGTCACTTCCAATAGCATTGATGATTTTATTAAAAGTTAACATTTGTTATATATGCTACTGCATGTTTGTTAGAAAATTATTTGTTCCCGTTTAACAATAAATCATCCCTAGTGAGAATTAAAGAATATTTTCAGACATTTATATGTATAACTTGTATGACATACAATATTCCTTAATCAACACAAAGATAACATATTTCATAGAAGAAATGGAAAATAAGCTCAAAAAAGGGATAATATTAACACATTCTTTTTTTTTTTTTATACTTTAAGTTCTAGGGTACATGTGCATAACGTGCAGGTTTGTTACATATGTATACTTGTGCCACGTTGGTGTGCTGCACCCATCAACTTGTCAGCACCCATCAACTCGTTATTTACATCAGGTATAACTCCCAATGCAATCCCTCCCCCCTCCCCCCTCCCCATGATAGGCCCCATTGTATGATGTTCCCCTTCCCGAGTCCAGGTGATCTCATTGTTCAGTTCTCACCTATGAGTGAGAACACAGACACATGAAAAAATGCTCATCATCAATGGCCATCAGAGAAATGCAAATCAAAACCACAATGAGATACCATCTCACACCAGTTAGAATGGCAATCATTAAAAAGTCAGGAAACAACAGGTGCTGGAGAGGATGTGGAGAAATAGGAACACTTTTACACTGTTGGTGGGATTGTAAACTAGTTCAACCATTATGGAAAACAGTATGGCGATTCCTCAAGGATCTAGAACTAGAAGTACCATATGACCCAGCCATCCCATTACTGGGTATATACCCAAAGGATTGTAAATCATGCTGCTATAAAGACACATGCACATGTATGTTTATTGCGGCACTATTCACAATAGCAAAGACTTGGAATCAACCCAAATGTCCATCAGTGACAGAGTGGATTAAGAAAATGTGGCACATATATACCATGGAATACTATGCAGCCATAAAAAAGGATGAGTTTGTGTCCTTTGTAGGGACATGGATGAAGCTGGAAACCATCATTCTCAGCAAACTATCGCAAGAACAGAAAACACATTCTTTCTTTATGAGACTTTGCTAGTCCTGGCATTGTCTGGTCAACAGTCAGTGTGGAATCATCTTCTCCTCTTATCTTCACATTTTCTACAATAAACAAAACAGGTTCTGAACTCTCCGGAAGATCACAATTATTCTCACTCTTCCCTTCTTAGCTGTAACAGAAGATTGATCTGCACTGTTATTAGACACATTCTTTGATTTTGGACCCAAATGAGTTACTATCAATTGTGTAATTTTTAAGTGGGTTACCTTATCTAAGGAAAATATTATTTAGATGTTTCATATATAGAATAATAAAGTATAATATAAAATGTAATAGTTTATATCATACTTTAAAATTATGTATGCTTTTCAAATGCATTCTCTGTCAATTCTTTAAACAAGAGAATGCATTTAAGACAATAAAAAATAATATTCTGGTTGCAAATAAGCATTTCAAATACATCACAGTAAATATTTGTGGTGTAAAATGACTTAGGAAGAAAAATTAATCGGAAGAAATATGATACATATTCATCATACTTTTTCTACTGTTAGAAGAAAAAAATTGAATATCAGATTTAAACATTCTTTATTAATTTTTTCCATTATCAGCACATCTATGGAATCAGTTATTGACTAGGATAATCATATAATTTCATCTCTGAAGCAGGACATTTTTAAAAGAAAAAGAGAAAATATTAATGTGTGAACCACACTGTTCTGGTCAAACTGAGTTCTATGGTCTTTTGACCTCTAACTAAATATACATATAGCAAAATTTATTTTCCCCATGACATATTATAAAGGAAAGTTTAATTTTCATGGAAAAAGTTTGAGGTGAAAGATCAGAAATATATAATTTTGGGAAACAGAATTATGTTAACATGGCTGTCTGTGATGTTTAATTTTGTGTGTCAGTTTGACTGTGCCTTGGGGTACCCAGCTATTCGACCAAACATTATTCTGAGTGTGAATGCGAGGGTGTTTTCTGGATGAGATTAACATTAAAGTTGGTAGACTGAGTAGAGCAGATGGCACGCCATGATATGAAAGGGCCTCATCCAATTTCTTGGAGGACTAAATAAAATAAAAAGGTGGCTCCTCCTCCAAGTAGAAAAGAAATCTTCCTGCCCAATGTCGTTTGAACTGCAACACTGACTTTTTTCCTGCCTTTAGAATAGAATGGAAATTTTGGGTCTTTCTGGGTCTTGATCCTGAGACCTTTGGACTGGAACCATGTCATCAATTCTCTTCGTTCTCGGGCCATTTGACTCAGAGTGGAACTAAGCCATTGGCACTCTTGGTCTTCCAGCTTTGCCGACTCACTTTGCAAATCTTGGGATTTCACCTCCATAATCATATGGACAATTCCTTACAATAAATCTCCTTTTATGTGTATGTACAGCCTATTGGCTCCATGTCTCTGGAGAACCCTAACACCGTGTCCAGTGTCCTCACAAAGAGACCCTGAGGCCTGTCTTTCATTGAGCAGGGAATGTGCCAGGTGGTCATCTCAGGAAGCTCTGAGAAGTGAGACAGGAAGGGAAGGAAGTACATGAAGCCTGTGTTATTGACCAGACTACCCTGTGAGCAAAGCAAATTGAGTTCAATTCCACGGTGGAACTGAGAGTGAGTGGAAGACATGACACTGAGTTACCTTACTTGATGGGCAAGAGACGGGACTGTTTATGGAATATTTATCGTCTTTGGTTGAGGACTGCTCGCGGGGGTGGGGGTGGGGAGGTTGGTGAGGAGGACGTGTTGTTTCCCAGGCACTTTTGCCCTTCTCAGTACACAAAAATAGTACGTGCCAAAGGGAAATGGAAGGCCGCCATCCGGATCTGCTTCAGTAAGGTAAATTACACGGTGGCAGGCAGCTGTGAGAAAAGAGGAAGGCAAAATGTGGCTTTGCTCTGCCTGTTTAGTTCGAGCAGTACAGGAGAGGCGAGAATATGTGTGACAAATGTTCCCTTGAAGTATGATTCAGCATTCCCTTTAGATCTGGCACACAGAATTTCCGTCACAAGCAAACGCCAAAGCAGGTAATATTAAACTTAGCACACATTTCCGTAAAACTCTCAGGAATAACCTAAATAGACTCTAAGTTACTAAACATCAAGAGATGTAAGACAGTATTCATTTATTTGACTTCAAAATTACTCCAAGTGTTTGATTAGTTTTTGTTTCTAAGACTTACCTTTCCAATTAAATAGGGAAACCAAAAAAGGAATTTATGTAAAGATAATTTTAAAAAGGAGATTTGAAAAATTGTCTTCCCTAGATTTCATTGACGAATACCTATGCCTCATCTGCTCCTCAACCCCCTCCCTGCCACACGCCTACTCCTGGTTCAACTCTCAGGTCCCTGGCTACACTGTCTCAGATTCTGTTGGGTGATATTTTTCTATGTAGCCTTTAAATGTTTAAGATCAGGGTGAATGGGATTCAAATTCTGTTCTCTCATGATTTTCTCTAGGGCTTTTAAGCCTCACTCATGTCTTTAGTTCCCATGTACTTACCAGTCACTCATGGATTTGTGTCCTAGTTCTGTTCTGCTTCGCAAGCTTATTTATGTGCAATGCCTATGTGGCATGTTCACTTGGATATCTAAAAGGCCTGGCACATTTGATGTATTCAAAACGAACTCCGTCTCCAATCTTCCCCCCACATGTTTCTCCTTCATAGATCTCTAACTCTATAGATACGACTAGCATCCATGCAGTGACATATACCAAATACCTACTGTTTCCTTGTTTTCTCTATAATCAATTACCCCTGAACTCTTGTTAACCTATCTTCTAAATAATTTTCAAATTAATTCACTGTTTTTTCATAGTTCCGTAGCCACTATTTTAATCTAGTTTGCCAAAATAGTAAATGATCTCCTTTGTGTCAAAATTTTCACCCTTTAAATCTTACTCTTACAACTAAACAAAACTGTCTTCTCAAAACATAAATCTGGTCACATCAACTTACTAATTAAAACCTTTCATAGTCGTTTCTCTTAAAAATTATTAAACCATTTAGGTCCTGCATAACCTCTATCCTTTACGTTCTTGTCTTCTAATATTCTGTTTTATTATTTGAATTCCAGGCAATTTTATTTTTATCAAGTTCTTTAATGAATGTGTTTCATTTTGCCTTCATACAAATTATCAGAAATGCTCCATTTTGGAGAGATTCCTTGCTTATTTAATTCTTACATGTTTTAAAAATCTTAATTCAAATGCCATTTGCTAAGCGCAATCATTCATTACCTTCAAATCTGATCAGATACCACTGCTGCATGTTCCTTTTTTCACCCTTGTGTAACGTTCTTTCTAAAAGTCATTGATATATCCTCCATGTCTTGCATAGTGTTTTAAAAAAGTGTGTGCTTAATAACTAATTATTAAATGAGTGGAAGTAATATTCTTTTTATTTTCTTTTTTTTTAGACAA